ACAGTGTTATGTAATGCTTCGAATGTTAGATTAGGATATATTCTCATGTAGACTGATCATGTGATATCTTATGCTTCAACACAACTAAAGGGGTACAATCAGAATTATCCCACTTATGATTTGGAGATTGCCGTAATTGTATTTGCTCTGAAGATTTACAGACACTATTTGTACAATGAAACTTGCGAGATTTTATAGACCACAAGAGTCTAAAATACGCCTTCTAGCAAAGACATTTAAATTTTTAGCAAGGTATATAGATAAAACTATTTAAGGACTATTATTATTGAACTATTCTATATCATCCCGGAAATGCCATTGTTGTGGCCAATGCATTAAGTAAAAAAACAATTGTGGGGTAGTTCGGCACATATAGATCCTATAGCGAAACTTTTGGTTAAAAATATGCACAAACTAAACTTTTGGCTTGTGTTCAAGTAAAGTCTTCATTAGTAAAGCACATAAAGGCAACTCAATATATAGATGAGCGATTATGCAAACATCAAGATGAGATTCTAGCTAGTAAAAGAAGGATATAACTATTGACAGAAATTGTATTCTCGACTAGGTAACTAGTTATGTGTACTAGATGTAGATGTGTTAAGACGAGTTATTCTTGAAGAGCTCACAATCCTAGATACGTTGTACATCCAAAGCCTAGTAAAATATACCATGACTAGAAAAAAATTATATTTGTAAAAAAAGAAAGAAGGAAGATTAACTTAACCTTGTTTCTAAAAGTTTAAACTTGTTAGCATGTCAACATTTGTGACTCTCATGCACCCTACAACAACTCGAGATTTCAAAGTGAAAATAAAATATAATCAAAGTGAATTTTATGACAAAACTACCTTAAACAATTAGAAGTTATAATTATATGTGGGTAATTGAAATTGGCTTACATGGTAGTCACACTTTTGCCAGTCAAAACTTCGCACATTGAGGATAAATATACTCAAATATACATGAATGGAAAATTATCGAACTATATGTGGTCTATTGCCCATCATGTCTGATAGATACTCACAATTTACTACACGATTTCGACAATCTTTCCAAGAAACATTGGTTACACGAGTAGATAGATATTAGTATCCTATTCTATCAGCCGACATGCGAGCAATCTGAACGTACTATACAAATCTTGAGGTATATGTAGAGAGCTTACATTTTGATTTTGGAGGTAACTTGTACGCTTATATATCTATAGCTGAATTTGCCTACAATGATAGCTTCCAATCAAGTATTTAGGTGGCACCGTATGGAGCATTGTATAGTATATGATGGTGTTCTCCTATCGGATGGTTTAAAGCCGATGAGACTAACTTATTAGGACCCGACTTAGTACAAAAATCTATTGACAAGGTCCGGTGATCAGATTGCTCACAACTCATAAGAGACAAAAGTCTTATGCGGATTAGAGGAGAATGGACTTAGTTTTCACAATTCGGGGTAGAGGGTCCTTACGAGTTTTTCCTATGAAAGGTGTAATGTGATTTAAAAAAAAAAAGAGGTAAGTTGAGCCCGAGATTTAAAGGGGCGTACAAAATACTAGACCAAGTGTGAATTGTGGCGTGTTGTTTGGCACTTCCTCCCGGATTGTCTTTCATAAATCAAGTATTTAATGTTTTTGTGCTAAGAAAATGTGTATCAGACTCCTCTCATGTGATTGAAGTACCGATTATAGAGTTAAATGGGAACTTATTATACGAGGAGGAGTCGGTAGTTATTGTTGATAGGCAAGTAAGAAAGCTACAGTCAAAAAAAATTGTGTTCGTTAAAGTTTTATAGAGAAATCATACCATTAAAAAAGCTACTTGGGAAGTAGAAAAAGATATGCAAGCAAAGTATACCCATTTATTTCAGTCTACAGGTACGCATTTGAGTTAAATTCGGGGACCGAATTTCATAAGGTGGGGAGGATGTAATACCCCAATATTTTAAGTGAGGACATATTGGACATTTAGAAAATAATTTAAGTCCAAAGAAAGGGAAAAAAAAGAACAAACTAATAAAATAAAACAAAAAGAAGAAACCTAGTCAAATTAAAAGAAGGGGCAAAGCCCACAAGAACTAAAAGAAAAGGGAAAAGGGGGAACGCAGCAAGTTGCGGCTAAGACAAACAGAAGCAAAAAAGGGGTTGAAAAATAAGAGAAAATCCCCTTTTTGCTAACGCACAAAGGGAACAAAAAAAAAAGGGAAAACATTTTCTAGTGTTGCCTCGTGCAAAATACTATTTCCATTCAAACCATTGGCATATAATCTTTAGTCTCACCGATAAGCCCCAGGTAATTATATATATTTTCCTTCTTTCTGAAACAATAGTAGTTTATATACATGCTTTCTCGCGAGACTAAGTAAATATAATGTGGGATTTGATTCTGAGTTAGAAGAGGAGGTTAGGGAACTGAGAGAAATCCATAAGACTTTTCATGAATTAAGCAGATATATTATATGAATACGCTAAAAAGTTATTGATTATGAACTAGTTGAATTACTCGTAGTATCGGTAAATACAATTCAGCAAATTATGATCAAACATGAACCTCTGAGGGTTAATATATATTTTAAATTAATTATGAATTAGTTTAAACTAGAAAATTGACACGAGATTGATATGACGTGATTATAGATTAATCGGAAGAAGTTGTACGGATCGCTCGAGGTGAGCAGTTTGGTATTTGACACTAGTACTGTGAGTAGTAATCTTACCACAATTTGTGTTTTCATTACCTGCATGGTTTATATGTTATTTTGAAAATAAAATGTGTTACCGAATGTTTGATATTGCATGTGGGACAAGTCCTTTACTTGATATGGTACTGAACAGTTTACTGGAGATGTTTACCATTATTTAAAATGTTCTCATTGTTACTAGACATGTTTTACTCTTACTTGAGATATGGTTACCATTACTGAAATGGATTTACATGATTTGATAAGAATTGATATGCCCTTTATTATTTTAAAAATGCTTTCTTATGAATATTTACTGGTTACAAGAAAAAATATAAATGGGAGGAAACTTTGAAGGATCCAGTAGCTAATGGAGAGTTCGTTAGACCTGGTGCACCTTATATTTACATATTACCGATTACAGTTATAGCCCTCGCTAGTGGGAAGGTAGAACTAGCATACAGTTACAGTTTTCCCTCGAGTAGGGACCTACAAGTTATATTTGACTCCTTTTATGAAGGGATCCACACAGTGATACAGATTACATGATCCTTTCTTGGAAACCTCCCAAACATAAAGATTTAACAATGAGACAGTGTCTACCGTGTTTATTATCGATTTGTTAAATTGATTTCTGTCACAGGAAGTACAAGAATAGACTGATTATATTTACCTTTTTTGAGAGGGCATTTTATTTTTATGATAGTTTCTGATTATTATTAAACATGCATTCTTTCTCACTTGCCCCCAATTAAAAACGGTTGTAGTTAAGTGTTATTACTCACTGAGCTAGCTACTCACTCTCCGCTATATTTGTTTTTACAGAAACAGCAGTTGACGCGAGCGAGAATTTTGTTAATTAGAGTACATGATTTGATAGTTCCTGGTGAGCCCCGCACTTGTTCGCATGGGCAAGAGTTTATTTATTTGTTATCGTCTTCTCTCATGAACTCTTAGAGTCGCTCCATAGTCATTTTTATTAGTGTCATGAGCATTCATTCGTTATATTGGACTAGATACTAGTATTGTACTTCTTTCCGTATTTTTGAGATGAGTTTAGTATTATTATGTTGATAAGGTTGATAATGTTGGTGAAGACTCATTTTTGGTTAGTTGGTGAAGATTGTGATTGATTTAGGTGAATATGAGTTGGTTGTTATTTGTTTATGAGAGAGGAAAACTTTTGGATAGTCCTAAATTAGGGAAAACTCTGTCTAATTTTTTGTAAAATACCGATGAGGCTTACTTGAGGGCACTTGTTCCCAAGCGCCGGTCATGATCCTAAATTGGGTCGTGACATTTCCGATGTATCCACCCACTCATGGAATAAGGGGAACTCAATGTTAAGGTGTCTAAGGCAACCGAAGAAGACAGTACATGGAAGCAACTGATGCTTTGATCTTTCGCGGGTGATCATATTTTCCATCTGCTTCTTCCTCCTAACAGTTTGGAATAGTGGTGACAAAATGGATTAAAAACAATTATACATCCATATTATCCACTAAAAAATTAGTTGGATAATGAACTTTTTAAAAATTGATTAAATATGGATAAGATCCATATTATCCACTTAAAAATGGATAACCAATGAGTTTAACTTTTACATTTACAAAAACTCAAATTGGGGGTTCCCAAGTTCAGAAGACTAAGAATTCTCTCAAAAATGATCGTATTCAAAAATCCATGGATAATATGGATGTATCCATATTATTCACAGGTTAACCCATTTTCTATCCATATTAAATATGGTTGAATAGAAGGGGAGCATTGGCATAACTGGTAAAGTTGTTGTCATGTGACCAGAAGGTCACGGGTTCGAGCCGTAGAAACAGCCTCTTGCAAAAATGCAGGGTAAGGCTGCGTACGATAGACCCTTGTGATCCGGCCCTTCCCCAGACCCCGTACATAGCAAGAGCTTAGTGCGCTGGGCTGCCCTTTATTAAATATGGTTGAATTCCTCTTTATATTTCCTGAACCAAGGGTCTTCCGAAAACAGTCTTTCTACCTATTAAATATGGTTGAATATTTATTCATTTTTATATTACCCATTTTTAACCCGCTCATATCAGACCCGCGCATTTGCCACCCCTAGTTTGGAGTTTGGACCGTGTAGCACTAGCCAAGTGCTTCTTTCTTCTAGTTCTTGAAGTGCTGGGCAAGTCAATGTTCAAGGACAAATGAAGAGACAACAGTAAAGCATAAAACCATGTCATGTACTACAAAAGTTGGAAAGGAAATAGTGGGCTGTGTATGAAAAATAAACGAATGAATAAATAATTAAATGGAAGCGTTTCAAAAGATGGTTTCTCTTTACATACACAAAATACAGAAAGGGGATAAATACTGAAATCATCAATAGCATTAATTTCACATACAACAACTTCCAATGATCATTCTAAGAACACAATGGGGATATTCTAGACTATAACATCAGATTTGAACATATATGACACATATACACAACCTTCCTATTACATTTGATAGGATTTAATATTGAAACAATTTTCTACAATTTACAAAGCTGTGTATAGATATGTATATATAGTAGTATTTGCTTTATATTCAGTGCAGCTGTACCCTATCCACTTCAGAGGCTGAATTTGCAGCAGCAAGAAGAGCTGCTCCAATCCCTGATCCATCTTCCATGACCCTAAGAATGACGTTCGAGGAAATTTCTTCCCCTAAAATTTCCTTCATCGCTTCATTCAGGTATTCTCTGAATAAGGTGTAACTTGTGTATAAACCACCCTCGATAGCCACAACCGTTCTTCTCATCCGACTTGGTCTATCGCTCCTGAATTTTCCACCAGCTATGCCTCCACTTCCATCTCGACCTATCTTCTTCAATATTCCCACGATACCAGCAGCTGCTAATCTAGCAGCCCTTCGAGTAATTACATCACATACCTTCACTACAAGCTTCCGAACTTTCACTGGGACATCAGGTAACTGAAAGTCGAAGATCCCAAGAAGCAGACAGTAAGAAACCAAGCAACATACCAAGAATTAAATGAGAAGTGGACAGGTGTAATATGCCACAATTGGCTAAGTTGCAATACCAAGTGTAAGGATAAGAAGATAAGAGGGTCTACCTCTAGAACTTCTCCCAGAATCCTGGCTACTTCACTTAAGTCAGGTGAATCATCCTCGTGCATAGCAGCCATCAACGGTGTCCTGCCATTATTCCCAGTAAAACTAATAAATATCATATTGCAGAGAAGTGTGATGATGCAGCGAGATCCCATATATATCAATACAAATTAGTCTCGGATAAACGAAAGGCTTCACATGGCGCAAAATCTGACAAGCAGAAAACATGGTATGTACCTCAAGGCGAAAGGAACTGCTAATTTTGATGATGCAGGTCCAAAATCATCTGATTCCTGTGACATTCTAAGGAGTACTCTCCTGACAATGTCTCCCAAATACAGTCCTGATATCATTTTCTCAAAACCCTGCAGCAAAATCCTTGATATGATGCTTGCTGCTGAGTAAGATAATAATCACCGAGTGTCCAATGGATAAAAACTTTACCTGATCATTTGGGTTTGGGCTAGCAACATCCAAGTCAATATCATATGAGGTTCTAGGTAAATGAGATGACCAAAAGTTTCCCCATTCCATATTGACTACCTATGTTTGCAGAAAGTAAGAAGACAAGCAAGCAAAACCTTTATATAAAGTATAAACTACTGAGACTACAAAAATATGAAAAAGCATATATACCATGCCTCCTGATGTTGTTAAAAGACCTTGGCACTTAACAAAAATATGAAAAAGCATATATACCATGCCTCCTGATGTTGTTAAAAGACCTTGGCACTTAACAAAAATATGAAAAAGCATATATACCATGCCTCCTGATGTTGTTAAAAGACCTTGGCACTTAACAAAAATATGAAAAAGCATATATACCATGCCTCCTGATGTTGTTAAAAGACCTTGGCACTTAATAATTGCATCTGCCCGCTCCAAATAGCATGCGTTAGTGCCGGTCCCAATTACAACCGCGGCAACTGTGTCTTCATCATTATAATGTCCAAGAGCTAGAGTTCCCACAGTGTCATTTATCTGAGGAATAATGCGGCATTAATAAAATCTAACAGCCATTGCACTCAAGAGCTAAAACTAATCAATCCTCAATCAAAATTTGAAGGAGAAAACTATATCATACAAGGGAGAGGAGAAAAACATCTGAAACTTCTATAGAAGGGAAGACATTTTAAACTGGTGACGATAAATGATTTTCCAGATTGTAGAGAAGGTTATCATTCTGACACTGGAATTCAGGACCAACGACATTGTCTCCTAATACTACATAAAGTTAATGATAACGTCAAATGCCCCAGAGAACTGAATCATCCTCAGTAAACCACCTGTGTCCGGCATCTTCTAAACTGGATAATCCAGCATCAACCTGGACTGAAATCTTAAAGAAGGTGAGGTAGCTCATAGTAGAAAATTACATTCGTTATAATAATATAGTACTTAATACACTGACAAAGATAAAGTTTTAGACGTCTAATTGTGCAGCTTCATCATTGAAACAAGCTCCCTTTTTCTTTATCAGTATCATTGAAACAAGTTCTAATATTAACTATCCTATTATATGGCACGATACATGAATAGAAGGTAAAAGCCTCATATCATAGTATCATACAGCTTTAAATTACATCTGAAGGTGAAAACAAGGGGACGGCATGGTCTACGGGAAGCTAATAAGTACCCAAGAGTAAATCTCACAAACATGAGCAAGAAACATGTCCATTTAACAGAAGTTTTAAAGAAGCAAGAAACTGGCAAAGGAAAATGCTCACCAATGCTGCCACCCGCACATCTTGACCTTTTCTAGCAATTGCTTGTTGTAGACATTCAGAAACATCTCTTCCAATCTAAAAATAATGAGAAAAATAAAACCAGAAACAAGGATCTATCAGAAATGGACAACCACATATTAATGATCTTAAAAGAATAAAGGGCATGCATTGGTTAATAAATCCACAGTACATATTCACATCAATAATAGCTACATCTGACATGTAGTCACTTAATATAAAGGCAATCTTGACTGGGTCAGCTACGAAAACACTTTTCTAGCTCTAAGCTTTGCATGGTCGTAAAATTTAGTTCGAGACTACGAGTAATACATGTAGCACAAAAACAAAAAGAGACCCGGAAGCACTGAAAAGGAAAGTAGGTTACACCCCGCATGATAATTACAATCTTTTTTATGAAAGATAATGATGCATAATTACAACTTTTCATTATATAGAATCCAAAAGGCAAAGACTCCTGCTAACTAACCATGTCTTCAATCGAAAATCCCTTTGTCCATTTGATCAAAATGCCAGATGAGGCGGAAGTTTGCTTCACAGGAAATGAAAATGTAAAGCCAAGTTCTCTCCTCCTGGGTGAAGGCTGCTCCAAGCCATTACCTTCCTTTTCAATGAAGTCCTTTAATGATGACGCAACGAAATCAAGGAGATCCTGCACATAATAACAGGAAAAGGGATAAAAACTATGTTGATCTCTACCAAATCAAATGTAATTTTGTTATTTGCAAAAAGATAACAGAACATTAGAGGCTCAATCTCGGCCACCTCGCTTGTGCTAGTCATTAGATGTTGCGGAATGGGTTGTCGTTCTATATCTTGTCCAAGAATAGCAGACCTTTGGCCTCCTAAGTGGACTCTCAAGACTCTAAAATTCGTACCACCAAGGTGCAGAGCATAATATGTTCCCTTTTCCCTCCTAAAAAAACATAAGCCCAAGGTTAGTTATCAAACAACAAAAAGAATATGACCATTAGAGATAATTAACAAAGTATCCACCTGTCAGCAAACATTATAACTGCAGGCTATAGCAAGGAATGTATTTCACTAGCTCAAGTGGCGATTCAATCTGAAAAGCCTCAAATTTTTTGATGTACATTTGAATTTTTCTTGAAGAAAATTATATTCCAATTACCTTTTTAGGGCATGATGAGTAAATCTTTCCCTATTACTACGTCCTCATGTTTTAAAAAACATCCCTTTCGAGCATATGTCAACGCTCAAGGAGAAAATGGAAGATATTAAATATCCAATAAAAACAGAAGATTATTTAGTAATATTTCAGTGGCTAATTTTCATGATGAATACTAAGTGAAAATTCCTTAGTCAAGTGCACATGCAAATCAAAGGGGGTATATAAGGAAACAGAAACAAGCAGCAGAAGCAAAGTTAGATTGAATCAATTACTCCAGCTTTCAAGGTCGTTATCTAGTGACTATTATCATCGATCAAAATGAACCTGCTATCCAATATCATCTACCCAAAACACTCTTTGGAAAATCAGAAGAAGGCAAAATGATAAGTCTATACAGAGCACTAAATTAGAATCATCTTTATGGTGAACTCATCGATGCTTGTACAACAACAACAACAACAAACCCAGTGCAATCCCACATAGTGGGGTCTGGGGAGGGTAATGTGTACGTAGACCTTACCCCTACCTTATGAAGGGCTCATCGATGCTTGTGTTAGGGAATATTTAACATTGAATTACTCAATGAACAATCAGGCTAGTTACTTACCTTAGAGACAATATTATTAAATTCTGCATAACAGCAGCATACTTACCACTGGACTCATGCATCACATATACATCTCAAAAGCCACATTATGTCTTAGTTAACCAAAAGCATTTTAAACTAGCAACTGCATGTCTGAAACCCAGTCATGTCCTTTACAGACTATTCACAAACAAAGAAAGCATTCTCAATTTCTTTTTTCCTTTTTTAATCAAGAAGCATTCTCAAATTTTGACAAAGTAATAACCTGAAATTTTCTCCTAGTGTACAACCTTAGCCATCTAAATTTTAAAGAATACACTCATGAAAACCCCAAGGGAGACACAAGAAGAGAGAAATAGAAAAACAAATATAAACAGTCAAAATCACTGTGCCCAGTCTCATGCAATGAAAGAGTATCAGTGTGGTAAATTCTGGAAAACTTTAGCCATAGTTAATAAACCAGCATGAACAAAAAAATAGAGTACATTAATTGTCAGAAGGAAAATAACAAATCAACTGTTATTGCTCCCAAATTGTATCGTGATCAAACTAGTTGAACAAAGAGAGCATTGCATTGTTCCTCGTACTTCACGACTCTAACCACATAATACATCCAAAATAGCAAAACCATGCACACCCCTAGCCAACCATAAAAGACAAAAGATCTCTCACATACCACGTAACACAATCTTTTACACACGGCCTCCTTGCAGATGCACACACTTGTAAAAACCCCTGCCCCCACAAAAAAATAAGCCTCTCAACGTTTTGTCTATATTACCACTAGCAATACACAGCGAGCAAGCATGGCTAATGAATGAATTTAAGAACAAATTAATCATAAGGAAACAGATAAGAGAAGCACTCATATGTATACGCAAATGTCCATATGAATTTTAAAAAACGTAACAGCTAAGCAATCAGCACAAATCAAATTGTTTCCGCCAAAGGGATGGTTGACTGATCTCACACAAGAGAAAAACATGACATGGATATACTAAAGTTGCCCGTACTTGAAGTTGCCGAGTGAATTAGTGAATGTGTTATACCCCCTCCGTCCCATTTCATGTAACATGCTTTCCTTTTTAGTCTAACATCTTTTTATATTTAGAAACAATTTAACACATTTCTATCTTTAGAAACAATTTAAAATTTTCATTTTAGCCTTGATGAGATGATTTATAGCTATCACAAATGTCTATGCTGCGCTTTAGATATAAGTGACAAAAGTGGTTCTTTCTTTCTTAAATCCAGTAACCAGTCAAACATAAAATGGACGGAGGGAGTATACCAAACCAAAAACAATAACGAAAAGCAATCAGTATGAAAACCAAAGTTGAAACTTTATGGTAAATATGTATACCCATTTGGGAGCTTATCAACATAAGTAAGCAACATCTTGAGTTTACTCCCGCCTTCAGAGGCAAGTCCAGCGTGCATTTCAACAGCCATAGCATCCACTACTTGCTTTAGCCTACCCACGGGTGTACCACACGACTCTTCCAGTTCTTCTAGAACCTTCACCATCTTCTTCCACTTCCTCCTCCTTTTTACCCTCTTACCCACCATAGCTGCCGCCACAATACACGCCGCCACCGCAAACCCCGCCGATATCCCCACCGCTAACCTCCCCATACGACACCGTTTATTTTTCTTTTTATTTGTGCTTTTTCTTCTGTCTTTCTCCCGTTTCGAGAATAAATCAGTCAAACCATTTTTATGTATAAATACGACACCGTTTCAAATCAAATACCCCGTTTTAATTTAAAACTCCCTCCTTTTAATCAAAAAACACAACACCTTTGCTGATAAAAATCACTTAAACGGCGTCGTCTGACGGAATAGAGCCGTTTCCTTTTCCCGGTGACACACACAATACACAGTTACACACAGCTCAGTGTTTCCAAAACTAAAACAACGGCGTACTTTCCGGTAATCAACGCCGTGATTGATGTCGTTATCCAATAGTGAAAACTAAAACTTACTGTCACCGCCTATTCTGTCGTCCGTCCGGCCACCGTCTACGGCTGAGAATGTCGTTATTCTATAGATGTGGCCAGAAGCACGGAGATTTTGCTTGAAAGTGAAACTGTTAAACAGTTCATCCGTTGGAATATTCTCCGGCGATGTTTTCGGCAATATCCGGCAACAACAACGTTAACGGATTTTTCCCGGCGACGTTGACGGATGTTTTTCAGGCGACGACCAGTTGTTTGAAGAAATACTAGAGAGAGAAAGAGTGAGGGTAGAGAGAGAAAGAAGGGCGGTGTTGCGCTTTTGTACTGTGTGTGTGTGTGTAGGGGGTGTATGTGAAAGCGAACTTCCGATATTTATAGGTGATTTACAAAGACTGTTTTACCCTCGGTAAAGTTAGGAAATGACAGATTTGTAGCGCTTCTTTTTTTACTATTATCGTGAAATGGGGAAAAGAATTTACTATATTTTGGTGTTTTGTGTAAAGTTAAGGCACCAGGTTGATATTTATTTACGTTTTTGCCATTGGAATTGGAATTTTTGGATTACCTTAATTATTTGAAAAGTTTTGGTTGATTAAATTTGACTTAGTTTTGTGATAGGGACTTTTGTTTTTCTCTTTTTTCCTTAATAGTGGAAAGCTATGTGACTAGTCTTTTGACTTGTTTGATTTGAACTTTAATATGATTAAACTGTTGACTTGTGAATAACAAAGATTTTGTTGATATATGTGCTTTGAAATTTACATAATTATTACATTATGTTTTTTTATTTTGTTCTTTTAGAAAAGTTTTAAAGATTTACTACTTTTGACTCTATATTTTCCTTGATAGTTGAAAGGAATATGACTAGGTGGGCGTTTGGACATAAGAATTGTAAAATTCTAAAATAGGAAAAAAAAAATTCAGGTGAAAATGGTATTTGAAATTTAGAGTTGTGTTTGGACATGAATATAATTTTGGGTTGTTTTTGAAGTTTTGTGAGTGATTTGAGTGAAAATTTTGAAAAACAACTTTTTGGAGTTTTTTAAATTTTTGAAAATTTCCAAAATGCATATTCAAGTGAAAATTAAAAATTTTATGAACAAACGCTGATTTCGGAAAAAAGTAAAAAAAAAAATTTGAAAAAAAAAAAATTTCTTATCTCCAAACGGGCTCTAGGTCTTTCCTCTTTTTTGAATTTGAGTTTGAATATGATTAAAGAGAGCATTTTGAATAATGAATAAATAGTTTAAATGTTCTTATTAGTATACCAACTGAATAAATTGGGCATGTGAATCGTTTTCATACATTGACGTAAATTTTGACAATATAAAATCTACGTTTCAAGATCTATGTATATATCTTTTTGCTACATATGAATGAAAATCATTAGTATCTTGTCATTCATTTAAACTAGTTACTAGTTATATTAGTTAAATGGATTACTATAGTCATGCATACACAATTATATTTGAACTTCTAATAATTACGATACTGCTTAAAATTAATACTTTTGACTCTAATAAAGATGAGTTTTTTTTTGTAATAAGTTGATGTGAATTTATAAAATTATAAAGAGTGTGATATAATGACTTATGCTTATTCTTCTTATTCTTTTTTAACTTATATTGAGCCCAGTACTTGAGGATTTTGTTAATTCACACCAAACGTATGATTCTTATGTCGATACGATAAGAGATCCAGAAAATTAATATGGAGTGGAGGGAATAAATATTTAGACCATCACCTTCAAGCGTATATCTACGTAAATACTTTATAAATTTAAGAAATTCATATCTATAATCCTATTTTACCATCATATGGAATTGATCTTTATAACTATATTAATTGCGGGTATTATCTTGTTGAACTTTTCTCATTTTATACCCCACATTTGAATTTTTCACTTAAGATGTCTATTCATTTAATATCTCCATATTAGATTTTCTATTATAAGTAATCTATCAAATCCAAATAAATATGGTAGACCAAATTAAACCTAATCTAAATTAATGCCGTCGGCTAATAATTCCATATACAAATCTATGTACAAGATTTGTTACATTCAATGAAATCTCTCACTCAAATCCATGTAAAGGATTTGTAACTTTATGATATTTTATATGGAGTAGGTTGCATTTATAACAAAATGTTCTATTTTCATCCAATCATAAAAAGTGAATCAAAAGGAGGGCAATTGAGTAAATTCACGAAATAAATTTTTTGGTCCCTCCCATCCCCACAAGTTTTTATGTAGAGAACCAACAAAGTGATTCCACTTTGATGAAACTCATATCAAATGAAAAATGAGGGACTAAAGTGTCACTAATTAAAAACGTCTTGGACAAAATAGACATTTGGAACTTACTTATTGGGGGTGGGTAGGTAAAAGACAGCAAATTTCAGAAGGAAAAATAAAAAGGAAATATGTGGAAAAACGGCGACGTTGGAAGGTGCGGTTACGCTGCGGACCGTACCATAATGACAGCTGTGTTCCGCTAATTCCAGCTAAGCATTAAAAAGTGGGGAAAAAAAATGTTTCATTACATTTCACTAGACAGTACAAAAGACAATAGAATGCACCCCCATAGCTGTACTATTCTCTCTCTCTCTCTTTCTTATGTCCTCCACACACCCACACACCCTACTACCCCTTTGAACCACCCACCCCTAGACCCCCCATCTCCCACCAAACACACACACACCATATTCCAATAAAATTACCAAAAAAATGAAATAGAAAGAAAATGTGAAGTATTGAGCCGAGATTCTATCGGAAATAATTTTTCTACCTCCACAAGGTAACAGTAAAGTATGCGTATATATTATCCTCTGTGGACTCTATATTGTAGGAATATGTGGAACGTGTTATTATTATTATTATTGTTATTGGGTTTTCATCGTTGTATATTACACTGGTATAATAATAATAACTATTGTTAGTGCGCCACAAAAAAAATGTAGCATAATGGATAAGATTCCTCAAAGGGCAAAAGGTCTCTGTTTCGAGCATTGGGAATGAAAAAAGTCATGAAAGTCAAATAAGGTAGTTGTTCAGTAAGTTCTAACCCCAAGAGAGAAAGGATAAATTGCTCGCGCGCTTCGTCAAGTTAGAGAGAGGATCTTGGGCTGAATAGATTATCGACTCTGAAGGCATACAAATGTGACTTTAGTTCTGATGGTTTGCTTTGCTACTGGGTGCAACAGTCTTTTTTGATACTTTGAATTGAGTGGTCCATACGCCCCTCCCCTCGCCAAGCTTGAAGGAGAGACCCCAAAGTAGGTATCAGAGACCATACGCCCCTCCTTGCCAAGCTTGAAGGAGAGACCCCAAAGTAGGTATCAGACACCGGGGTAAAAAAAAAAAAAAAAAAAGCTACCTATGGTGCTAATACATCTTACTTCCAACATAGTTGAAATATGCATAAAAGTGCTTTATTTTACTTGCTTGATCAAATTATTATTTGTAAACCAAGTGGGAATTTATTTCCCTCCTAATGATCTACTATACAATTATGACTTTAGATCTTAGTTTGCCAATTGAATGGTAGCTCATTTATAGAGAGCTTCTGCCTTGTATAAATGTAGATACAATTCTCTGCTCACTAGGTCCTTCTCTTTATCATTCTCTTATATTGGGCATTAAAAAGGGAATTTAAAATAGTTTGATTATCCTTTTGTTACTTTTTGATAAATAGGATTAATAATTGTCATGCCAATAATTTATTTCCATGTTCAACTTAAAAACAAATTAAACTTGTATTACCAAATTTCCTTATTCTGATTACTTTCTCTCAATTTCACCAATATAATATTCATCCCATACAAAATTCCCCTATAAAAAGACTAAATTAACTTCCAATAATGTTCATACTTACCCTATTATGATAGTTTTATATACTACTAATATAAGATATTATTTATATCCAAATAGGAAAAAGAAAGATAGTAAAAGAAAGTGACTTAGATAGAGGTATAATTGCGTTAAATGGAAGAGAATAATCGTGGTTAAGTATTAACCATTAGATTTGGAACAACTACAAGACAAAGTACCTGAGAAAGTATGTTTAATTATGATGGGGTAACTTAGTCATACTTTAAATTATTTAGTGTCGTTAAGCCAAGCTACAAAAAGTATGGTAAAATCTCCAATAATTAAATAGTAGTAGGCTTTCTTAATACATATTTAATTGTATTCTAGTAAATATAGTAACTAATATGCTATTACATTTTAGAAATTGTTGATTACGTAAAATAATATTTACATTATAATACATATAAGCCAAATCCAAAAGTGATACTTATTATTACTTTATACGACATGCATGTAATTTTAGTTACACCGTGTTTAATTTTAACGTTGGATTAATTCGGTTCNGCGAGTGAAAGAGACAATAATTAATCAACGTTGTTTTACATGTTGAATTTGTGTGTTAATTACTTGGCCATCACTATACAGCTTGGCAATTTCGAATATTCGTATCCTCATTAATTTTTATTTTATTTTGTGATATATACTATAGTTTTTATTTTTTAAAAGGGAAGTGGGGTGGTCCCTTTCATAGCTACACAATCCGTCTTGGCTCTCATGCGCCAAATATTATAGCAATATATGTTTTGACTTTGATTTGACCAATGAAAACTTCCATCTTTATTGTCCTTATTAGTCATTCTTATTTTTATAAGTACACTCCTAAGTAAAATAAACTTATATAATTGATATATCTTTTTTACATGTTCATTTTGCCCTATCATGGGGTCTTAACATGCCTAAGGGAGTTAGGAGTCGTAATTATTTTCAAGTTATTAAAATAAAGTAGTAGTCTGGTACACGAAATATTCCGCGTTCATGCAAGATCCGAAGAAAGGTCATACTCAGAGGCGGATCCAGGATTTGAAGATTGGGAGTGCACTTTTGCTTTCAACCAAAATCTACTATGTATACAGGGTGTCACTACTAATATATTAGTATTTTCTAAAATCGTATACATATATTCATGAACAATTTGCCGAATTTTCCGGGTGTCGGTGACCCCTCACTTGATAACATAGGTCCGCTTCTGGGCGTACCTCAAGAGATGTCATGTAGGCAGCCTACTCCGATACAAGTACTAGTGGCTAATTTCATGGCTCAAACCCGCGACATATATGTCATGGCTCAAATCCGTGACATATAGATTATACGAAGACAACTTTACTATTCCTCCAAGGCTCCCATCAATATTCTCAGGAAAAAAAAAGATTTGATTATTCTCACCTAATAATATATTAATTTATGATCTATGAGTAAGAAATAGAAGCATCTAGCAGCGAAGAAAAGAGCGTTTTCTTATGACGATGAACCAAAATTACACCCA